GCCATTTGGGATGAAAGATTTTGCATCACATGCTCAGTGCCCCCCCACTATTTCGTCTTCTAAGTCAGGTCTGGGAAGAGGAAACATTTAGAACAGGGGTGGGCAAAACAGCCAATCCGGCCAGCAGCCGGACTCCATTTCCCAGCAGCCCTGGTGCAGCGGTGAGCCAGGGCAGAACTGTGCACCCCTGCCCAGAGCGTGCAGGCTACAGATCGTGGCTCTGCCCTGGCTCCAAAGCAACCTCCCCCAGCCCAAGTCATATGGGCAGGGGCAGCTGGGAAATGGAGTCGACGGCCGACCAGATGCCCGTCCCTGATTTAGAAGCAGAATGAACTGCCTGGCTGTCTGATATCCAAATTTCTATTATTGCATATTGACAATTCTATTAAAATCATTCTAAAAATGCACACAAACTCTAACTCTTCTATTGCTTGGAAGAACTGTGCTTGCAAAGTATCCGAGTAGGACATAATTAGCTCATACAACCTCAAAATCTGTGCAAGACGCTTGGCTGTAGGAAGCTGATTTGGTTCAGGTTGGGTTGTAGAAATTGTGTGTGTGTGTGTGTGTGCACACGTGCATGCAGACAAGGTTCTTTGGGTGAATCTGATATCTTTTATTAGACCAACTTAAATATTTGGAAAAAAAATTTTAGCAAGCCTTTGGGTTTCAAAACCCTTCGTCAGGCTGAGGAAGTCCCTGCAGTTGGTATGTGCCCTTCCTGGATGGAATGAATAGTAAAGAAGCCAGAGGCTGGGCTGGTACACATGCAAGACAGGCAGTAAGTGCATGCATGCATGCTCTTTCTAGTGACTGAGGAAAATCTTAGGCCTTAGAAATGGACTAAGTCCTTCAGTTCATAGGCAACTGGTAGGGGGGGCCCGGGGGGGGACGACATGTGCCCCCCCTGACAGGGCCGTCCCCGCTGCCAACGCCAGCAGTGGCTTCTGCAGGTGCTTGCCAGTCCCATCGCCGATGCTGGCTTCTGCGGGTGCCCACCCAGATTCGGGAGGCGCCAGTCGCCCATCCTTCAGTTCTTTTACAACCGATGATTGCCTTGCCTTTTAGGATGGTATGCCTTAAGGAATCTGTCAAAAAAACCTCCAGGCTAGCTGGCCAGAGTGTCCTGAGGTCTGAACACGGGGTTAAGTTGTGAATCCTACACTTGGCTCAGCTAGTGACTCTGTGTAGCCTTTCTAACAGACATCTAGCATGTGGGAGTGCCAGTACAAAACTAATCTTTGTAGCCTGGCCCTGTTCACTCAACAGTGGTTAGGGTCACATACGGTCAGACCTGTGTCAGTGGCTATTATTACAACTTTTATGTAAGTCACTTCACCCATCAGCTGTAGGACTCCTGTCTGCAAAATACTGATACTGCTCTCCCCTGCCCTCATCCCCTGCTTTCTGTGTGGAGTACACGTCAGCGTTTTAAACAAGCAAAGCCAGATGTAAAAGCAAAGTAACGCTGTTTGGTGTTTGGAAATATTGGGTGTCTATACATGTGCACCATGATTTTGAAATGCGGGGATGCTGAATACATGTGACAGCCTTCAACTACCTGAAGTGGGGTTCGAAGGAGGATGGAGCTGGACTGTTCTCAGTGGTGGCGGATGAAACAAGGAGCAATGGGCTCAAGTTGCAGCAAGGGAAGTTTAGGTTAGATATTAGGAAGAATTTTCTCACCAAGAGGGTGGTGAA